ATACTCCATGGAAGCTTCCCACAAAATCCCTCCCAATTGAGTTCTGAGCGAGCTGAAGTTTGATTTTCTGAAATCCAAACCCTTTAACTTAGTATTAACCTTCAGAGTGTTCAGCAGGATCCCAAGCTCCACAATATTGTGATCACTGCAGCCAAGGCTACCTCTAACCGAGATATTCTTGGTTTGTGAGTAGCAAGTCCAGTAGTATCTTGTTCCTGGTTGGCACATCTAACACTTTTATGTGGAAGCAGTCTTCTACGCATTTCAAGAACTTGATGGATGATGACACGTGAGCTGCTGTACTGTTCTTCCAACAAATGTCTGGGTAGTTGAAGTCATCCATAAGAACCAGGTTCTCTTGACCCAAAGCCTGCTTAAGTGATCCAAATATTGCTTTCTTGGCCTCTTTGTCTTGGTTTGGAGGTTGCTAGCAAATGCCTACTGTAAGATCCCCCTGGGTGGGCAAAGGCATTCAGTAGGGCTTCCACAATCATGGTACGTTCAAGGTTCTCCTTAACATAAAGTGCAACTCCGACTCCTCCTTTTCCCTGCCTGTCTTTACGAAACAGCCTATAGCCATCCATCATGATCCTCGAGTCATGCGAGTTGTCCCACCATGTTTCCATAACTTTGTGACTGGATGCAGAGCTACACGCACTGGTATACATACACTTGCAGTGGTTGGTCTTCTGGTTCACATCTTGGGAGGCAGCTAAGGAACATTTGTCACTGCTCTGGTTGCTCTGGCCTTTTTCCCAGTTGGTTGCAGTGATGTGAGCGTTGCCACCTCAGACTCTGCCCCCTGCATCCTTCAGTTTAAAGCCCACATCAGCAAGTTGGCCAGGCTGCTGCCAGAGATTCCCTTGCCTCTTCTAGGCAGGTGGATTCCATCCCTCCCTAACAGGCTGTAGTCATTGAAGAATGTCCTGCTGTCATAAAAGCCAAAGTTATGAATTCATTTGTATCACTCAAACACCTTAAAGCTGTTCTAATTAATTTATTCTTCACAATTTCATAACACACTTCTAGAATGAATTTTATTTACAATAGCTCAGTGAGAACCTCAAATTTAAGACTGTATATTCAAATGTTATATATTTAAGTCTCTGTATACATTCTGTTCCCATTATGCTAATTGTTACAGAGAAAGCTTTTTTCTATCTGTTGAACAGCTGCTTCACTTGAGGCTGATGATGCTTACTGGAGTGGGGTATAAAACAACTGGTGATAGACGGCTGAACCAACAGACAAAGGACTGATGGATAAATGCACTAGCTAGACTTAAAAGACAAGGTTCAAGTCATGCAAAAAAAGGCTGTTGAAGGATCACTGGCATTTAAAGTGATGTAAACATCCTCACCTGAACAATATCTAGCAAGCAAGCACTGTTTTACTGCAAAACAAAAGCTCTTTTTTATTTTTATGTCTTATAAAAATTTGTACATACATTAATTTTTTTATTTCTTCTTAGTTCTGCATAAACCTTTCATTTAGAAATATTTTTTCATAAAAGAAATGAATATTTAACATATAATATGTGTAATAGACTGCACAGTATGGGTTGTATGTTGTGTAACCAAGAATTCTGATAGAAAAATACATGGGAAAAAACACCTCAAAATGCAAATACGTTTTAAGACTATGTTACAGTAGGCTGAAGCATTCCTCTGGCTTAGCAGAAGTTAAGAAGGAAAATTCCTGTAGGTCTATTAAAGTTCTGGTTGTATGTGCCTTTTGCATTTCTTACAGAGGACAGAAGAAAAGCTACAAATGCACACTAACACACTGAAGAGGTTTCTACATGATAGAAAGGAGCAAATGAGACATTTCTGATTTGTCACCTAAGCATTTATTTTTATTTTGACTTGCACATAACTTCAACTGGAACTCAAATAAAAGCATACAAACACAGGATTTTGAAGTGTTTATACAGTTAAATGCAGTTTAACCATAGAGTTCTTGATATTTTTAAATAAGTTTTTATTTGTCTTGCTTTGCACCTAAAACTGTTAAGAAGCATCTTGTTCTTGTTCTTACCTTGCTTTGTTCTTCAGCCAAAAAGAAGTGCTGACATAAAGATAAAAAATTCCAATTTGGCACTCGGAAACCAGATAGTGTCACTCTCAGGGGGCCTTTTCAGCTTGGCATTGGGCCATGTTTGTGGTGGCTGTACTGCTTTCAGATCAGTTGCTTTGTGTGAGCTCATATTTGCCTCCAAAATTGTATGTTCTCAATGTCTTTGTGTTCAAAAGCCACCTGTGACCCCTTCAGAACACTGCAGCCATTAAAATTGCAATAATGAGTGTTAAAAAGCCTATGCTCCTCTGTCGCTTTTGTTTTATGTCCTTCAAATGTTTTTCTATGATTCAGTCCCTGAAGAGCCAGGAGTAGAGGGCCCTCTACTCCTTCCCAAGACTTCCTTCCCAAGTCAGAGTCTCAGTTCGCTATCTTGAAAACCATTTGTCTAACCTCCTCTTACAGACCTTTGATGGAGATTTCACAGCCTTCCCAAACTATTTAATTACTTTCTCCTATTATTTTAACTTTCCCCCTAACATCTAACCTGAATTTTCTTGCAGTTTCCTTTATTCTCTGTGAATACAGAGTCCAGTGCCTCTTTTCTTCCATGCAAGAACATTTTACAACTTTCAATACTTACATATTAGCTCCCCTTCAAACTTGTGTTTGGGCTAAACACATCGTTCTTTCCCTCTTTCCTCAGAGATCATGCTTTCTTGATCTCCAACTGTCAATGCTACTTTGTGGACTCTTTCAAATGGGTCAGCTATTCTTACACAGCAGTGTTCAAATCTGGATGCAGAACCCAAAATGAAGTTTTTCCAGCACCGAGTAGGCTAGACAGACTATATAAAATTTCAAGGGAAAAAAAGACTGCCTTACAACAGTGTAAACTAACACTAAATTCACTAGATCCTTTTGAAAAAGTTGTTTCTTCCACTTCTAAGGGCAGGAAACACTGAAAAATTAAATAAGAACTCCCCAGCAGAAAATAATTTTAAAGCAATTTCAGCACAATATCCTTAAGATTTTCAGATTCATACATGTTCATCAATATGTTAAGGGAAAAGGAAACAGGAATTGTATTTTTTCCTCTCCTCCCACTCTGTCTGGAAAACCCTGAAAGCTGGAAACATCACAAACTATTCACAAAGAAAACAACAAAAACAGGTGAAGGATCAAGAAGCGGACATAGCAGCCAGAGAAACGGTACAAAGCTGATCAGCTTCCTGTTTATTCATGTTTATTCATCACTCCTTGAATGGGGCACTTTCCCTTCTGGAATCCCCTCACTAGCAGGAAGTCCCTTTTGATATTTATATCTAAGTTTCTTATACAATCTGAATTGTATAACATATTAAGCTTTGGTTATTTCTTCTTCAAAAAAATTGCTTGAAAACATATAGTAAAACCCCAAGAAAAAATTCTCAAACGTTCCAAGTAAAGAACTAAACACAAATCCCTACATGTCTGTTGAAAACTTGGCATAGAATTCCTTTTCAACCAGCTTGGCCCTCAACCCCAAATGCATAAAAATAGGGAAATGAGTACATCAGAACAAGTGGTTCTCAATGTCTTTGTGTTCAAAAGCCACCTGTGATCCCTGCAGAACACTGCAGCCATGAAAATTACAATAATAATTAGGTAGCAGTGAGAAATTGGGGCACAGAACCTTGAGGGTTAGTTACCGGGAGTCTTGAAAACTTATTAGATGAGTAGCAGCTTTGAAGGAGGATGACAGAGAGAAGCAAGATGAGCTGTCCTAGCCAGCAAGTGTCTATACCAGAAGTTCCTGCTCCCAGAAAGGGAGGAGCTGATACTTTGCTGGACAGAGAAACAATCATGAAAGGCATTCAGGTACACATAAAAACTTGCTGCTAGCTTCTGGTTTCCAAAGTATTTCTCCTTAAAGAGACACTCTTAAAAAGAAACACTTAAACCAGTGTTTCTCAATAGAGTAGCACTCGGACGGGAAGACAGAAAAGAAAGTTTAAGTAACTGCCTCCAGGCTGCCAGAGAAGCAAAGCAGCAAGATGCAGGAAGAGCTGTGCCATCTGCTCCTGTGCCAGCTCCTGTTCGGCTACAAACTGTTCTACCAGTTCAGCTATTGTTGTGTGATCAGCTTCCACACCATGTACCACTGGCTGATGAGAGCGGGTGGCCAGTGTGCCATGCTCTCCTGCAGCACGAGTAACGCATGTAATTGAAAGGGAGTTAACATAAAAAATGGGAAATAACATTACTTGCAACGTGTCACTTAACTTGCTAAAGAAACCTACTGCATGCTGCTGAAGTCAACAGGTCTACCAGATCCCGCAAGGGAACATGGAGTGTTTAAACCCCTTTCACAGGGAGCAGACCTAAAAGGTCCATGGAAAACTACGGACCGGCGCATCACCTCCTCCTTGCCCGACATCCCGCAGACCAGCACTGCCTGCTCCATGCCCTTGCACCCGCACACATTAGCTGTGGCACAAAATAAAGGACTAAGCAGCCAGGAATACCGTGCCCGCCGCCCCCTGGGCTCCTCACCGCAAGCCACCGGGCAAGCACAGCGGCAGCGGCCTCGCTGCGAGCGCGGCTCGGCGTTCGGGCACCCACCGCCTGCAGGCCGGGCACCCACCGCCTGAAGGCCGGGCACCCACCGCCTGAAAGCCGGGCCTCCGGCCGGGCAGGCAGGGCCCTCGGCGGGGCCCGGCAGCCACCCCCGGAGCGGGCTGCCGGGGCGCTGCGGGCGCTGACAGCCGGCGGCACCGCCAAGTTAACTCTGAGGAGAAGTCGGGCTTCGGCGCCCCCTCAGGCGGGCGCTGGGCTCGCCCCGGGACGGGCAGCCCCGCCACCCACCCCCGAGCTCCAGGCAGGTGCCGGCACCTCAGCGCTCACCCCGCGCCCCGCTACGCCCCGCGGCCCCCCATCCGCCAGGGCCCGGCTCGGCGGCGGCGCCTCCCTTCCCTCTTCCTCCCTCCCTCCGCCGGGCTTACCGGGCCGCGCTGTGCCAGCCTGAGAGGACGAGGCGACGCCGCCAGGGCGGGCGGGGAAGGGGTTGCGCAGCAGCAGCAGCAGCTGCGGCTCCAGCGAACGGGAAGAGACGGGAGACAAACGGCGGCGGAAAGCGCTCCGCTAGCGCGGCGCCGGCCCGGCCCGGCCGGCCGTGGAAGTCAGCCCGGGGCAGGCCAGGCCTGTCGGGCGGCCGCTGCCTCCCTGGTCGCCGCGGGAGGCCAGGCCCATAGCCGGCTGCGGGGCCGGCTCCCGCTGTCGCCGGGGATGAAGGCAGCGGCCCTGCCGAGGCCTGAGGGTGGCACGTCCTCTCGCCTGCTGACTGGCAGGGATGGAGCCGGGGTGGGGTCAGCCCCGGCGGCAGGCTGTGACAGCCGTGAAGAGGCGCGGCTGCGAGCCACGGGCAACGGGATGAAAACTTCTCAGTAAAAATTGGGGCAAAATACGTATGCTCCTCCGGGCCCGAGCAACGAGCCCAGACCCGGGGAACTTAGAGTCACAGACCGGGGCTGGGGGCAGCAGAGTCACACAAGAGCCCCCAGCAAACAGTCACATAGCGGGCAGGGTGTCATCAGTACCCCCCGACTGTTAAAAAAGAAAAAATATAGTGAAAAAAAAATAAATGAAGTAAACTTGTGAACCTTTGCAGGGAATTGCTGCAAATCGTGCTGGACTACACAGGAGAAAAGGCAGGCACACTGATCCGAAGGCTGTGGGCAGCAGCACCACGGGCCCCTCGCTGGTGAGCATCTCTACCTCGGCAATTAGTAAAAGCTGGTAAACGAGATGGGCTGTGTTTCCGCCTGGGTAGTGTTTTGGTTTCTGGTGGTACTCTTGACTTGATCAGGAGCTAACGTGTGCGCTGGGAGCTGGCACTCTGCTGGTAACAGTTGCTCTGCTTCAAACACAGGAAGGGACCAGAATTTTTAGAGCAGTGTGAATGTAGGACAGGCTCGAAGATTGCTGAGGAAAAAAAAAATTTAGAGTCTGTCCACTTTTTGGCCTGTGAAAGTGGTTTGAAACACCGAAACGTCAATTTCACTGTTTATTCTACATTTATGATACCTAATTTCTGTGGTTTTTCTTGCATTTCAAAGTACGTTCCCTGTAGGGTAAGACGAGGTTTTGTTATCAGGTTATCACCGTGAGGTTTGGGCTCTCACGGATGCAGAAGTGCACTACCACCATATTTTTTTTCCAGTGGTCTCATTTACCTAATTTTTTGGATAATTTTTGCCCTTTGCTACCCTCTTATTATTTCAACAGACTACCTTGTAACAGAATTATTTAGTCTTTTTTTGTTTGTTTGCTTTTTCCTTGGGAGAGAGTTTATTCAGGTTTATTCAGTTCCTTCTATTTAGAGTCCTATTCATGGGAAAAGTTTTCAAACAACAGTGTGATACAAATATTTAAAATAACATTATAACAACATTCATTCAGACAGCCTTATGTTTTTCAGTAATTACATCTAGCTAAATTACTTCATACTTGTTTACTCATTTGAGTTTAAACACTATAGTTGGATATAGTGTTTTGGGTTTTTTTATTTTTATTTTTTAAACAACAGATTACCCTATGCTATGATGAACCATTTCCCTGTCTTACCTTTTTCCCACTCCATGGTTGGAAAAGCTGTTGTTTTATTTTTGTGGAGAGGATTGTCAGGGTTTTTTAGTCATTATTACACATGGTGAGATGTTGTGCTAATTGCTACTTTTTCTTCCTGAATGTAAAGCCAGCGAAGAAGGTCTACATAAAGAAGTTCACAAGTAGGATGCTTAATTAAATTCTGGTTTGCTCTGCCATGACTGTAGAGTAATTCTATGTAGAAGAGACTGATTGTTATTTTGGAATAATTCCTAGCATGGTATGGTGTTCTCAAATTTAAACTGAAACGTCTGTTTATAGGCACTATTAGTCATAAAGAGTTGCAGGTCATAAGGCATTTTCTAGCAAACTTAATTGGTTAAGGCATATAGAAAAAAACAAAACAGGGGAAGATGAATGGAAGAAATGAAATATGGGTTAAAATGATTAGCTGCTAATTTAAGGCTTCACCTTCTGATGTAAAAGAATGTTGAAACTATTAGGGCAGAGAGCTTTTACGCTTTTTAAATTTTGCCATCTCATTTGTTTCTGCTTAAGTAAGATGCAGGGTTGGACTATTTGACTTTAACGGCATCCCATGTTTAAGGAGAAATAGCAGTGATGATGGCACTGCCAGAAAGAAGTGAAAGGCACATCACATGGCTCATGTCACAGCAAGAGCAAATAGAATAAGGAAAAATGAAACCTTGCTATAAGATTATATTTTGAGAATTTTGTAAAACATATTTTATTTTGTTAAGCAAGGGGAATGTGCCATTCAGCTGCATGGTTAGCTGTATTTATTGTCTGTCACAGGATGAGCATGAGGCAGCTGGCCTGTGGAAGGTTAAGAGTGGGCAAAGTGATTGCTAAGAAGGTTAATGGATATTTCTTGTGCTGTGGCTTTGGGATACATGACAGCCTGGTGCAGAAGTTAATTCTAAGGCAGAATATATATGAAGTTCTTTTTACTGGGATAGCCCCTTGAGTCAATGGTGAGCAGCCCGAGGATCAGTGCCAAACTGGTGCACAGTAAATCAGAAACAAGTTTTTGACTTGCTGTTCTGAGACAAGGATAGTTATAGCAGGAAGACTATGTCAAAGGCTGTTTGCAGCGAATCAGTGAACACTGAATCACACTGCAGTGTTGTAATGATTTGTGCATAGACCACAGCACATACTGTTTTCATGTCCATGGCACAGTTCACAGGTGCTCTGTGAACACTTGCTATCAAGCAGTGTTGTATTCCAATAGTCACAGCAGGGATGTGTTGTTTTCCTTGCCAATAGTGTTGATGAAGCTGCCCAGGAAAATGGATGTCCTGGCTTTCGCTCCTGTAGAGTTCCTTTCTTTTACCAAAATCCATCTTCTCCAATAGAAAAAATTACATTTTCTTTGGGTATTCGACAGTGCACTAAGGACTACCATAGGCATTAACCCAGTTCTGTAATAGCTTGTCCTTTGACCCATTAGGCTGTTCCCATCAGCTGGGGTCGTCTCCATGACCTGCATATCTGTTATTTGATCGTCTGTGCTGGAAGAAAGTCTCTTAGAAAATGGCCAGAGAGGGAGCTCTGGGAGAAATGAATGAAGAAATGGAAGCTGTGGGGTAGAACTTTTGGGACTTAATACTGAGCACAGGAGGAAATTTATTGTTGCTGTTACCTGTTGTTTTTTTTTCTAAGCTGCTTGTATACTTGAACGGCATTGTATTAGGAGAAGTCCAATGAGCATCATCGTCCTGTTTCATTCTTCACCATATGATTCATTGTTGGAAAAACTTTGGTAACACTAGGCATTACAATAACCATAAAGCACAACGTTTCACTGTGTGGAGATTACCATCTTTTTGCATTTTATTTTCCTTTGAAAAATACAGTCTGTTTTTCAATTTAACTTGTCATTGAAGAGCTTTACCTATTATGAAATAAACTGCAAGAAAATGACATTTCTTCCCATTTACCTTGCAGATAATGGTTTATATTTGCAGCTAAGATTCCAAATCTGATTTGTAAAACCTCATCCTACTCCTATAAGAAATCTAAAGCCTATACAGAATATCCATCATTTAACAAATCATTTGCTTTCCCTTTGCTTCTTTTTGAAAAACAATCAGCCTAAAATTGCTGTATGATCACAGGCTGTGTTAGAGCTAGGGTAAACATTTTTAAAGTTACTTAGGACTAAATCTTATAAAATAATTCTTAATACCATTTTCTTAGGTTGTGGTTGCTAGTTCCCTGGAAGGGAATCCAATTCTGTGTTAAATGCAAGGATCGTCTCTGCACTTCAGAATCCTGCTAATCAAGGACTCCTGCTATCTTGAGGCAGGATAAAAGAAAATGCCTCAAAGAAGACACGTTCTGCAAATAAGTAAGGTCAGTGAAGTTTATTAGATGTGTTCTGTTTATCACCAGCTGAGAACTAGTTTCTGGAAGCGAAAGTGCTCATACAGAAAAAAGACCTAAGGTCACTTCTCTCTACAGCTCATTCCACATTTCCCATAACTTGGGAGAACATACTAGTTACCCAGATAAAGATAAAAGCATGTTTTGTTTTTCTCCGTGGTGGCACAGCTTCAAAGAATTTATGATCTGTGGGACTTAAGGGATGGAAGCCCAAAGAATCGTAGTACTCAAATGTGAAGGGGATCCTTGCTGATTGAAACCCACAACCAACTGTAGATACTGTTCTGAACGGGGAGTGGGGTGCGAGGTGCACAGCTCAAAAAGAATGCTTTTGAAGGTGGTTCTCTTACAATGGATTTCTACTGGTGTCTTCATCAGTGCCCTGCTGAGTAAGGGGTTGGTGGTGATATTAATGCCTTTTGGTTGATCACATCAACGCCTTTTTTCTACGGAGTCTCCATTTAACTCACCAAGTGTGAACAGAAATCTTCAACTAGAAACAAATCTTTAAAATTCTTTCATTTTCATAAGAACTGACACTTTGTTGGAGCAATGGATAAAACCAAGCCATCTTTAATATGTTATGGGATATACCACTTTCTGGATATAGTTACTGTGGGTCTGTTCAGGTTAGTGAGACCTTTTAGAGTTAAGTAACTGCCTGACTCAGCTCTGTCAGAGCTATGGTCAGAGTGACCTGATGGGACTCTGGGAGGACACAGAAAAGGCTGTGGTGACGGGCAAGCAGAAGACAGATAGTGAAGGGAGAGTGGAACGGAGCATAGCGGTAGCCCCAGAGGTATGTGCGGGGACACGATTGTTAGTGCCATCCAGAGCACTACCCATGCAAGCACTGTAGGAGCAGATGGCCCACTGGGACATCACCAAACATTGGACCGTGACCACATGGCCCTCACTGTTTATATTTGGGTGCTGCCAAAGCCTGGCCCAGCCAGGCTCATGCCTGGACTCCTGCTGAGCATGCCTGTGAGGTCTGGAGTGTTGAGTGAGGCTTCTCCTGGTGTTGGGTTGTGCTTTAGCAGGTCTCAGTGCCCATCCCTGAAGCCATCACCTGTGTTGTCCCTGACCCTGCCCAGTTCAGACAACCAAGCACCCTGGGGCA